AAAGGAGGATATGGAAGACACATCAATAAAAACTAACTTGAAAAATAAATAGAAAAAATATATAAAAAAATTTAAATTAAAGAGTAGTTCTCTGTGAGATATCCCTGTTTCTATAGCACACAAACCTATACCTAAGCATCAATCCATTACTCTGAACATTTGCATTTTGAGTACAGCATCACCCCCACCTGGTGGCAGCTAACATAAGTAATTTAGAATCATTTAAGTCAAGTATCAGTGAAAATGTTTATCATCATGTATTTAGGTTGTAGCTTTAAAACCACATGTTGAGTTCCCTGTGTCCTAGTTGCCCCACCCCCCAAAAAACCTATGTATGTATTTAAAAAAAATTTAAAAAGAGGTTATTGTAGATGGAAATGGCACATTTACAAGTTTTTCTATCAACAGACCATTTTAATAAAATTTTCATAAAAAATCTAAGTTCTCACCAGCTCATTTTAAAACAGCTCAAAATACATTCATTAGTTTAGTAATCACCCATGCCATATTACATACTAGAGATGATATAAATCATACCTTTACCTATGCATAAGTCAGAAATGTTTACAGCTATTACTTTAGCAGAGTGGGAAAAATATCACTGCTACAAGAACATTTTTAGTGAATAAAACACAATTATACTATCCCTTCCTAAATAAGAATTTTAAAAAGGGCTTTTATGAAAAATTTGGCTTTCTCTCAAAGGATATTTTCTTCATAAGTTATTAATATAGTAGAATTTAGCAATAAAATTGTAAACTCAGGAAAAATGTTTGTGAAAAAATGCATTCTATCATATCCAATTGCTTGACTATAATCTACTTCTTGATATTGATCTCCCAAGCAGTGCTCAGACAGCCTGCAGGCCTCTCCGGGAATATATAGCTAACCAGCCACAAAACCCAGTGCAAGGGCCCGAGGATGCTAGAGTGTTCCAAGTCATACAGGGAGATAACCCTATGTTATCTCCTGTGGCCCAATTCGTTTCAAAAATGATCTCTAATAATTTGATACAGATTTCAGAGAAAATGTAAGTCATTAACAAAAGTCAGCCTACAATCAAAACGCCAATATATTCACCACATAAACATGGTACATATCTCAAACATTTCTTCTAAAATGGAGAAGTGGAATAGCTACCAAAACAGGAATCCCTTACGTGAAGCAATTAAACACTAAGTTTAAGAAAAGGAGAGAAGCATTGGTGATCAAGAAATCAAGCCATGAAATCAGACTTTCAAAGATTCAGCAGGAACATGACTTCAGAACTAGGGGAACCACTAGCATAAAAGTGCTATAAAGCACTAGAAAATGTTTCACTTTTGTTTAATAATATATCTTCATTATCTAGAACAGTGCATGGAACATTCAGTAGGCATTCAAAAAGTACTGACTAAATAAACAAATACATTTAAGTCTTATGATCAAAAAATGACTGGAATTATTCTTTTTACTTCATGAGAAATGTACATAATCAAAACAGGAATGCTGTGAGGAAAGGCTAATTTTTCCCTTAGCTAGTAGTACTGCTGATGGTGGTGGTGGTACAGTCATCATTAGTAATTACACTTAGTTTATAAGTAAGGACATACCTAAATCTTCTATAACATAAAATCTCCATTTTATTCACTCATTTAAAACCAAGTTCCTAATATATTACACTGCTTATGTGCATTTAAATCTGATTGGCAAATGAATTATAATCATAATTTTCATAAGTATGGCATGTTCATAAAAATACGATCCAACTGCTTTTTTCTCTTCTGCCTCCCTACCAGTGCTTTTTTTAGAATAAGTCACTAATAATTAGATATTTATAAAAATTTAAAACCACTCAGTTCTCATTATTTACAATACATGATACATATAAACTATATTTTAAAGTAAAAAATCTCTGAATATGAAAGACAATATAAAATTCACGTTAACCTATGAATTTGAAATACCAAAATACTTGCAAGTTTGTTTTAGCTTAAGGGGTTAGTAGAAAATTATTCAAGAAACTGAAATCTAGAGAGCACTAAAATTTCCAATTCATATCTGTGTTTAATGTTGAGATACTACACTTGATCTTAGCCAAAAGACCGGGAAGCAATAAGGCTGAAGCAATAGCACAGCGGGTAGGGCGTTTGCCTTGCACGCGATCAACCCAAGTTCGATTCCTCCGTCCCTCTCGGAGAGCCTAGCAAGCTACTGAGAGTATCCCACCTGCACAGCAGAGCCTGGCAAGCCTCCCCTGGCGTATTCGATACACCAAAAACTAACAAGTCTCACAATGGAGATATTACTGGTGTCCGCTCGAGCAAATCGATGAACAACGGGAGGACAGTGCTATAGAGCACTGTCTCTATTTAATAGAGATATAATTTCATTTGGAAGCAAAAACACTTTTCACAATTAGGAGGAAACTATGAACAGAACATTTCTGAAAAAAGCTTTAAGCAGGACTATGAGAAAACTATAAACAAGGTAGTCAACAATCTTAAACCACAAAAAATAAAACGTCAGATAATTAGGAGTGTGGTTGCATTTAAAGAACATTCCTTTAAGAACTAATCTATATTAACAGAAACCAGAATATTAAACCAAGAGTCATGAGGAAAGTTTGCAAGGTAACAGTATTTTATCTAATTATTGACTACAATTCAAACCTCAAGAACTTTCACATTTTAGATACTGGTTTTAATTTCAAGGGGGCTGGAGTGTAAGCACTCTTACTCTTAACTATTTTTCTCTTTCTTCGAGAATCTGAACTATCCTGGTAGATATTCATAATTTCAGAGATGTTTCCCTTATAGAAATATCATTTAGTGTGCCTGTATAAATGTAATAGTGATTACTAAATTATAAGTTTTATTACATAACTAATTCCAACTATAGAGACTTAATCATCCTCTTGACTACTCCTTATTAGCAATGCTAAGACTGGCCAAGACTGAATAACCCATAACAATTAATGACAGAAAGAAGGACTTGCAAATTCTGAATAAAAAATAATTTAGAAGGCTTTAAAATTTTAAATAAAATCAATTGTAAGATGATCCCACCATGAACTATACTTCATCTACAACCTCGTATCATCTAGTATTTATGAAACTTTCAGAAAGTTAACACTTCACTGAAATAATAATGGGTTCCTACTCTGTGTTATAAAATCTCCAAATCATTCTATGATTGATAGTTGTGCTAACTTAAAAAAAAAGAAGAAGAAGAAGATATTACCACTGACATTACAGCATCTGTTTTTCTCTGGAAGTGATGATAATCACAATCAAAATTGAGCAATTTTTTATTATGAAAGAATGTTGGTAATGATAAATATACATAATAAACCCTGGAATAATTTGTATCTTTTTAAAAAGGCTCTTATTATCCCACAGATTATTTTTGGAGCACAGAAACTAAATGTGATAAAGTAAAAAATAACAACTGATACTAGAATTTTTACACTCTTATATTTAGCACATACTGTGGAAAAAAAACAATCAAGCATTACTCACTGCTTAAAAATTAATTTAATATACAATAAATTTCAAGCATACTAAATCACAAGTTAGATATTTTCTCAATGATATGCCTAAACAAGATACCTGAGTATTATAACTGTTTCTGAGGCATGGTTTGCGAAGAGTATATTACATTTCCTTAATAAAGGCTATGGAATAAACATTACAGTACAGCTAAGTAAATAAAATACTAGAGATAGGAAAACTCTGAAAGACCATATAATATATGTCTTTCATATATTTGAGGGCATATTAACTATCTTCAAAGCAAAAAAGCCAACAGTAAATAGACTTTTGGTATTCAAGGTGGATATAACCAAAGACATTCTGATACTATAAAGGCACAGATATCACTAAACAATCCCCTTTTAAAAAAAACTACATGACACTCAATGAAAAAAACAAAAAATTCTCTTTAAACTCAGATAGTTCTCTGAACACTCAGTAGCAATTCAAAAATATTTATCAAAAAGGTAAAAGGTAAAGGTAAAGGCCCTCCCGTTGATCGTCGATTTGCTCGAGCGGGCCCAGTAACGTCTCCATTGGAGTCTTTGTTGTTACTGTGTCTGGCATATCGAATACGTCACGGGGAGCTTGCCAGGCTCTGCCGGGCGGGCGAGATTCTCTCTGTAGCTTGCCGGGCTCTCCGAGAGGGGCGGAAGAATCGAACTCGGGTCAGCCATGTTGGCTGCGTGCAAGGCAAACGCTCTACCACTGTGCTATCACTCCAGCCCTACCTAGCACTTATTATTTACCAAAAAATAAGTGCATAATGTAAACATAGGGTTTGTATTCTAAAAACATCATTTCTCCTAGAGAAATTAAAATTTCAGTTCACATAAAATCTGGCACACAAATGCTTATTAATGAAAGTGTCTCTGCTTATTATCTCCCAAAACTGAAAACAGTTCAAATTTACTTTTACCAATAAATCAACAAGCTAATTATAGTCTAACCATCCAATGGTATACCAAACAACAAGTTACACACTATGATATACAGAAAAACTTGAATAAACCTCAACAGTATCTATTCTGAGTACAAGAAATCTTTATGATATCATCTGTCCGACATTCTCTGAACGAGAAAATTACAGAAATGGAGAACATAACAGTAGCTACCAGCATAAGAAATACAGCGGTCGTATGATAACGGAATATCTTGAGAAAATTTGTAAGTGGTAGATCTATCCTGTGTTGTGATTTTACTGAGAGTAATATGAATTTACGCGCTAAAATTCACAGTAAATGCATGAAAAAAAGACAAATTTTAGTAGATAACCTTTAAAAGCAACATTCCTAACTATATATATATATATATACTAATTACACTTGCCCACTCTGCCTAAAACATAGTGTTGTACACAGAAATTATTAAACAGATTTCCTTGATAATATTTGCTAATTACACAAATTTAACCAAAATCTACAATTTAAGTAGCTAAAAGATCCTTAAAATTCTAACTTTTTTTTAAAACAAAGAAACATGACTTACCAAGTTCATTAAGACTCTGAGCAGCTTTTGTTATCTCTTTACTGCCCCCTTGCAGTTGTCCTTGGAGTCTCTTACTGAGATACAAGATGCGAATAATTCTTCGAAGCAAATCACAGGCAACCTGTGTAAGTAGTACAACAGTGAGGCATGACAAATCTATAATATCTGCTTAATATTATACATCTCCCCACTGAGTGCTGAAAGTTGGTAAAGAGATATACATGATAATTTTTCAGTACCTGTATTGTAAATCATAATGCCCAAAAGGAAAGAGAGACAGAGAGAGAGAGAGAGAGAGAGAGAGAGAGAGAGAGAGAGAGGGGAGAGAGAGAGAGAGAGAGAGAGAGAAAGTGGGGGGGGGTGGAGAGAGGTGCCTGCCACCAAGGCAGGCAGCTGAGGGTGGGTGTTGTGGGGCAGGAGGGAAACTGGGGACTTTGGTGTTAAAAAAAGTACACTGGTGAAGGGATGGGTGTTGGTTATCCCAAGGGTGTAAAAAAGCACAGTAGAAAGGACATCTGCACATGTATGTTCACTGCAGCACTGTTCACAATAGCCAGAATCTAGAAACAACCTGAGTACCCAAGAACTGACAACTGGTTAAAGAAACTTTGGTACATCTACACAATGGAATACAATGTAGCTGTTATGAAAGATGATGTCAGGAAATTTGTTTATAAGTGAAAGGTCATGGGGAGTATCATATTAAGTGAAGTGAGTCAGAAAGAGAGGAACAAACATAGAATGACTGTACTCATTTGTGGAATATAAAATAATATAATAGGAAACTGACACATAGGACAGTAGAGACAGGGCCAGGAATATTGCTTCATGGTTGGCAGCCTGCCTCATGAGCTGGGGGAGAAGGAAGCTGGAATAGAGAAGGGATCACTAAGTCAATGATGGTTGGAGGGATAGTTCCGGATGGGAGATACGTGCTGAAAGTAGATAAAGGACCAAATATGATAGTCTCTCATTATTGTATTGCAAACCATAATGCCCAAAAGTAGAGTATGGGAGAAACTGTAGCCAGAAAGGCAAGAGGAGGGGTAAAATGGGGGTGGGGGGAGAGATATTAGGGACATTGGTGGTGGAAAATGTGCACTGGTGGAGGGAGGGTGTTCGATCATTATATGACTGAAACTCAAACATGAAGGCTTCGTAACTGTACCTCATGGTGATTCAATTTAAAAAATTTTAATTAAAAAAAGGGATTGGAGTTGGAACATTATATAACTGGAACTGAATCATGAGCAACCTTGTAACTGTGTATCTCACTGTGATTCAGTTAAAAAATTTAAAAAATAAAAATAAATTTTAAAAAATCCTGATGCTAAAGATTCCTTCAAGTAACTTTTATAATCCACCAACCGAAAAATATAAGTCAAGTTTTAGAAACCATTCACAACAAACTAATTTATCCTAAATGGAGAGAAATTGGGAATGAAGTGTTAGGAATACTAGGATCTCTTCTCAGTCCTAGACTAGTTTTCTTCTCTAGAGAGAGGTTCAGTCTCAAAACTTTATAAAATTCTAGTGGGTAGGCTCAAGGGTCCCAACATCCAGGCTAAATTCCTAAACAACGCAAAATTTCTAGGACTGGAACTAAGTGTATTTTTTAAAAATATCCTCTGGTGCTGCCAGTATGCAGCGAATACTGATAAACACAGTGTTACTTAGCTTTCTACTACAGTCATCTCTTGTTTCTTACCCTGGTTTCTCTTTCCTAGGTCTCTTATGAGAAAAACAAAAAAGTTCTTCCAATTTCCCTAGGACTTTAAAGAATAAACATTCCCATCTTAGTATTTCCTAATTTTTTACACTAATTACAAACTATTTAAAAAAATTTTTTTTAAGAAGGGTCAGAAAGATAATCCAGAGGCCAGAACACTTACTTGCCTTGCATATGACTGACCAAGGTTGCTCGATCCCCAGAATCCTGAAGTCCACTAGGAGTAAACCCTGAGTACTTTCAAGTATGGCCCAAAAATGCAAACAGATCAAAAATCTATCATTGTATGTCACTACCTACTCCCATTCCGTTACCAGATTTCATAGTCGGTATCCTCTCAAGAACAGCAAAACACAAGTTAAGGACTCATGTAATTCAGAACAATCCATTGCTACTTCACAGGGGAGGTTAAGGAAAGAGGTACCAGATACAACAATAGATATGCAGTGCACTTCAGCCTCAATAATGACAAGGAAGAAACAACTGTACCAGCACCTTCATTGAATGGCCCTAAAGCTAAAAGAGAAGCAAGGACATCCATCAATGAGGGAAAGATCTAACCCACAACAGTAAGAATAAAAAGCAAGGGAAACAGGATCCCTGAGACTCCAGCTACATTTTTTTCCCTTCTTAACTAAAACATAGATACGCCTGATCCACACACACATGTACCATTAAGTCATAATATACACATATATATTGTGGTTTGGTTTGGTTTTGCTTTTGGGGTCATCCATGGCGATGCTCAGGGATTACTCTTGGCTCTATATTCAGGAATTACTCCTAGGGGCAAATTGGGGACCATTTGGGATTCTGGGGATCAACCCTGGGTGGACTGCATGCAAGGTAAGCTCCATACCTGTTGTACTATCTCCCTGGCCACAATACACATAGAAATAGTATTCAAATGCACAAATACATTCATATGTCATATAAGTATATAATGCAAAATACGATGTTTCAAATGTTTCAAAGTGAAAAAAATCATATTGAACATGTTTATCACATGCTTTTCTTAACAGTCTGGAATACTTAAAAAGAATGCCAAACAAGATTTTCCCTGTGGAATCAGGAAGATGTAAGCATCTTTTAATATTACTTTCTGATAGGTATTGCAAGCAGAAATTCAAAGGACATAAGATTAAAAGTTATCCTCTTATCTCTTTTCCAATCACGAATGCACTTACTAAAAACTACCACTGTGAGCATTTCTTACTTGTCAGAATGCATTTTTAGATAAATCATTTGAAATGTAGAATCCCTAGCAACCATTCCTTTTGGATTCTAAATAAAACTTGAGAAATTCCAGATCCGACTTTAGTATATAATCACCTAGAATTAATCTTCCAAAATTCCTCAGTACCTACCTAATAAAAAATATGCCCTCAAAATTGCAATCTATGCTTATTTCCTATGCTTTTATTTTCCCACACTTCTTCTGTCACCAAGTATTACTGATTATTCTTCTGTTATATAATGAATTACTTTATATCTATTTTCCCAAGCATCATCCAAAATCCAAATCTTTATCTTCTTCACCACAACATGTGCTCTCCTGGTTAGCTTCCCAATCTCTTACTGAAATCTATATTGCCAGATTTATATCCTTGAAAGCAGTTTTCAGCAATCCAGCCCTTTTTAATAAAATTCAAATTTTAATAAACTCTATTAACAGAATATGTCAAATTTTATAAGGATATCATTTGATAAAATTCTCAGTCAACAAGCTTTAGATAATCTACCAGCTACCAAATCTCACTATTTCCTAAAATAGCTGCCTCCATTCCAATCAATTTGCTTTCCTATTAAAAAGATTTTGACTTTTATTATGAAATGTAATGCAAACAATACAAATAAAATACAAATTCAGGGCTGGAAAGATATTATAACAGATAAGGCACTTGCCTTGCACACAGCCAACCTGGGTTTGATTCCCAGCCTCCCATATGGTCCCCCGAGAACTGCCAGGAGTGATTTCCGAGTTTAGAGATTTGCCAGATATGGATCAAAAACACACACACACACACAAATACAAATTCAGTACTAAAAAGAAATAAGTTATCAAATCTCGAGAAGACATGGAAAAAATCTGAATGCACACAATTATGTGAAAGAAACTAATATGGGTAAGGCAACGTATTCTATGATTTCATCAATACAACAATCTAGAAAAGACTGTGGAGACTAAAAGATACATGGTTTCTAGGGGTTTGTTAGGTGGGAATGGGGAACAGAACATGATAGAGTATTTTTAGGGCAATTAAAACACTATGATACTATAATGATAGATACACGTCATTTGCATTTGTCCAAACCAGAATGTATACCAACAAGTAAGACCTCTAATGTGGCCTTTAGGCGATAATGTGCCAATGTCAATTTATATATACTAACAAATGTACCACCCCATCAAGGGATGTTGTGTGAGGGGAGGGGTGGCAATCTGTGGGGAAAAGAGGTCTTTCCTCTTATAATAGGGAATGCAGGGAATGGCTGCGTTATCTCAAAATGGTGCAAACCTAGAAAATCATATAAGGAAATTAGTGCTAAATGAAAGTAGAATCACTTTGCAGATCAAGAGACAGAACCATGTCAGTCACCACAGAAACTCTCTGTCTAACCTATCCTACTTGGAACTACATTATTACAACAATTACTTTCTTACCTTTATGGGGTTTTTTCAAATCAAGTTCATATGCCTAAATGCTGTCATTTATTTTTACCTTTTTGAAACTAGATTCTCTCACCATCTCTTTGTAATTATTACATCATCTGTCCTAAAGAACTTTCCACAGACTGAATTTTGGTCATTTTATTCCCATATAGTACTTTCCATATACTTCTGTCTTCTACGAATATTTTAGTACATGTGTAGATGTATATATATACATATACACATATACACACACATGTATATGGCATATTATACTAGTGTATAAATGCAATTTTATCATATTCAGGTTTACTGTAACTAGCAAGATCTATCCCTTAGGTAATAGTGTGTTTAAAAACATTCAATATATTCCTGTTTTGGTGTTGTTAGCAGCTAATGATATTTCAATGTTAAAACCCAGTATAACACAATAATCAGAAAATGATATTCCAGTTCTTATCATTTCTCTTTTTAGTATATAAGATTTCTCCCAGAGACTATAAAACCCTGCTCCCAAAAGAGAACAGCACAGAGTCTCCTGCCTCTGTGCTTGGCCGTCCTCACCGGGGCCCCTTGGAGGAGGGTAGGTTGAGTTTCCCTCCCCACCCCGAGCAGAGCCCCAGCAGCTGAAGACCTCCAGTTCCAGCCACAGCCACACTTAAGACCACTCTCCACACGTTCAGACAAGCCTCAAACATGAAGGAACCGGCAGAGGAATGCAGGTGTGCAGGACCGGGGG